TATATATATAAGTAGGAATTGACTTAACAAGTTTTTTTTTATATCACTTGTTTTTTGTAAATGTAAATTTTCACTGTGCAGTAGTAAATTTAATTATAATGTCTAATAGAGATCTACGTGTTGTTTAATCTAGTTGATTTAACATTGGCCATGATGCTAACAAAGTCCAATTGAACTTGAGTTTATTTAGTTTTAAGAATTGTAATGAAATGGCCTCGTATCACTACATTGGATTTTTTAGTGATTATTTGGTTTTATGGAGAAGAAACAACAACAACGGAACTCCGCTATTAGCATTTTTAAAAAGATCGAAAGCTGCTAGTGTCTATGAGTTGAGTAGTTATGGGCGATTGATTTTTGTTGTTGTCACTCAAAGCTCATGGAAAACATGCTCCTCTTACTTCTGAACAATTCCCATCGAGTGAAGATGTTTCTTTATAGAAGTATGTGAACATTTCATTTTCTATGCCATATGTTTCATGCTCTTTAGTCCTTTGACGCGAATTTTCATGCAAAAGTTCATTTTATCTCTCTTCATCGAACTCGGACTGCCAGAACGCGGTTGCGTTTTTGAGGTCAAAATTTCCATTTTTGAAATTGGCATATCAGTCACGAGGGTTGTTCTTTCACTTGCGTCACCCTCTCCATACTCAACAAAAATACCGTGAGCAGCTTGTATGGACCCCTAGATTTCTAATTAATACGGATTGATTCCTGTAGGAGAAATTACGTCTTTTCGAATGATTTAAAACACTATACCAAAAACATTTAATGACATGGATTACAATTTAAGAAAAATGGTCGAACTTAGTTGCCAACGTAATATATTGCCATCGGCAAATGACGAAATATTTATAATATTTTCTGTTATGAACGAAGTAAAATAGGAAGAAAAAAAACTTTAAAACGTTTTCCCCTTCCTTTTTAATTATTAGCATGATATTTCATATCGAGATTAAAATTTTAAAAACTGTCTTTTTATTTCTCTTTTTGGAATAAAAGCTCATTTATTTCATGTTAGAATATTTTGTAAGGACGAAATTTTTAAAATGAGTCAAGGGAAGAAAGAATCCATAACTATTATTAGCTTTGATTGTCATCTTGGCAAAGCGCAATATTGATATAGTTTATGGCATTGATGTAATCGTTTTAATAAATGGGCACTAAAAATAGCAAAAATTACAATTTTAAAATGGTCTAAATAGACATCGCACAACATCATATAATCACTTTGCTTACCTGGAAAATAGAAGACAGGAAAAACTATTGCATAAAGAGTAGAAAATTATCTATCTCAAAAAATCTTATGTGAAAATAATCCCAAATATTCGTGCTTCGAAAGGGAAATTTTGTATGACCTAAGACGTCCAAATGATTTTCAAGATGTGTTCTAATCCATTGTTTTAAGGTATGTTGGAAAGGCTAGAAATAGAATTTATACGTGTGTACGACCCTCTTTTCTATGTAAACAACTGTTTAGGACCTAATACGAACTTAACACTCTTACTCCTGTTATATTGAATAGATTGTACTGAATCTAAACTACGATTTTTTCCCTTTGTTTAAACATCTTAAAGTCTGAATAACAATCCCACTTTAGCTCAGTCATGGTCGATGCCAAATAACTTATATATGCAAAAGCACCAAAATTTTTCTTTAAGTTTTGGGTCGATTCAATAACAGTGATATAGGATCTCTTTTTCGAATGGCATTATTTTCTCATGCACAAATAAAGAGAATTTACAAGTTGTTAGCTTCTTTGTTAATAATTTAAGCTGCTGTTCTGAAGAAAATTTGCCTCTTTACACTTCCGGGGATGTTTTCAACGACCTTGCCCTCTAATGATTCTCCTTACAGTCTGCCTCGTAGACGAAGAATGCATTTTCGATTGTCTCGCCAACTAGGCAGCGTTCTGACAGTTTTCCAGGTTTTTTTCTTAACGATCTGTGAATGAGAGCCAATACATCAGAGAGAAAAGGCTCTCCTTGCATGGTGAGTGATATTCACGTCCCATTATAAAGCAACACGAGGGCTATTGGCGAAGGACCTCATCGCTTTGAGCCATGGTCAAGTGACGAGGAGGAAGTCTGAACTGACACCTCACTCTCCAAATTTCCTCAACCACGCCCTCTTTAGGACTTTGATTCTAGAAAAATTTAGCGAGCATCAGCTCTTCTACACGATGGGTTTTCAGCGACACTAAGGCTCGTTCCGACACGACGGCCACGAGTTCGTGATCCTGACTACTGGGCTACTACAGCTATATCACTATAATTTGAACCCGAAAATAACATAGAATTTCTTTATATTCCATTAAAAAAAATAAATGTGATTTCGAATCATTTTTGTCCTTAGCGTGTGTATATATATAATGAATACAAAAACGGTGCAAAAAGAATTTAGGAATTCAAGTTGTGACTGGGTCTTATCGCGCCTTCTCACTAATCCTCTTGGGGAATCTTTGGGGCCAGAATGGTATTATTTCAATCCAACGCTCTCAAGAAGAAACCACGATATGTAAATTAGTTAATGGATATATATTGGAGCTTTAGCATTCACGGGTGAGAAAGATAGATGCCAGATAGCGCTATAAAAGTCGAATAGAAACCATATAGGAGTCGGCTAGAAGCCGGACAGTGGAATAGAAGCCGGAAAGACGAATAGAGGTTAGATAGAAGCCGGATAGTAAAAGAATAATAGTGGAAGAATAGAATACAAGAAGAGACAGAAATCCGAGGACTGTTCGCCGTGAGAGATTGTTAAGAGATTAATTATAGAACGGTCTTACCTGTGTGATTAAGGAATCTACAGTAGATAAAGATTCTGAGATTAATTTCTCATAATGATATTGAGTAGGATTTCAGACGCTAATTTATTTAGAATTAATAATTACGTAGTATCACTCCTGATTACATCCCTATAGCAAGTGTTGCGTTGATCAATATATATTTAGACAATAATAAATTAGATTTATTATGGAGAATTTGAGTGATCAATAATTTATTCCTACAAATCTAGGTCGCGTAGATACCCCCGGGCCGTGGGGTTTCCCAAAGTTAAAGAGTCAGACAATGCGTCAGAAAAATATAAATAAATAAATAATAGTTAATCCTACCATATAGGGGGGGGGAGTGAATATTTACGCCGCTCTATTCAGCTACCCGAGGATATTTGTCGACGGACCTCGTAATTTTGAACCATGGTCAAGTGACGAGGACAATATCTGAGCTGGCATCCTCTTCTCCTACGTTATAGGAACAAATATATAAGGAGAAATACCAAACGATTAAAAATGGATGTTAACAAAAAACACATAACAGGGGTTGAGGACTACTTTGTAGTAGGGTTATTAGTATACATTTTGTATATAACATACCATGATTATTTAAAGTAAAGTAAAATATTAAAAAATAGTAAAAGATGTAACTATTTATTTCAAACGACTTTTTTTTAAAAAAAAAATAACAGATTAATGTTTATTTCTTAACAGTTGGTTGCAAATTATTTCTAAAATCGGCCCGGGGGAGACGCAAATAATTTTCTATAAAAACAGTTTTCTTATTTTTCTTTTATTGCCAAACATTTTTTGTTTATTACAATTCCCACAAATATGACGCGAAAAAAAATTACATTAAAAATCGTTATCTAAAGGAAATTGATATTTTCAATTTGTGATGCTTATTGAAATATGCGGGGAAAGATAACATAAAAGAGAAAACATTTTTGTACTTAACTTTAATGATTTCCATTTATTTTGTTTTGGTGTTGAGTTTTGTTAATTACATAGAAAAAAGTTTTTAGAAGTCTTAAATTTTTTAAAAAGTAAATAAAATAATAATATAAAACTTTTACGAGCGATTAAAAATACCCGTAAATAACTAATGTTATTAATAAGCCCATTTTAAAACTGCTTTTACACATTTTTTTTGTTTATGTTTAACACTTGAAATATCATGAATATTGAAAAATCATAAATTTATTCAAAAATACTTTTCTATATGACTTATTTTTTAACTCTAAACATATGTATACATATTGTGTTTATTTTTTGATTTTTATATTAGCCAAAACGAAAAGTTTTCAATTGCTATAATGAGAGGAAGAATGAAATGCTTTTATTAAAACTTTATATATTTAAAATGGAACGAAAACAAATAATTTAATATTTTTGTACATTGATAATAAGAATTAAATTTTATAATTTTAAAGACGAGTAATTTTAGAAAAAAAATATTGGCTTACTAAGTACAAAAAAAACCTGGTGAAACGGTTTGATATAGGATTTAAGTTTTTCGATTTAAATCTTAATCATGGAACAAAATATCATAAAATACTGTTCAATTTCGTTTCATAGCTAGGTATTTCAAGTAATAATATATAAACTGGCCTTATATCTTGTTGGAAATAAACAGTAACCTGTGAAGTATGTTTTCACATATATAAATAATTTATTAACAATTTATTAATTAAGGATCTCTCTCTCTCTCTCTTTGTCTTCTCTCTATCATAGAAATGGTTATTTAAAATAAAATGAGGATAGAGAGGATTGAGTAATATAGAAAATCCTAACACTGCCAGTTTATGTGTTTTCAAAATAAGGATTTAGCTAAATTTTACAGAAATCATCTGACACACACACATTAAGTTAAAAAATGAACAGTTACTATATGAAACTTAGTATTATTTTCTATTTATTAAAATACATTAATATCTTAAAAGGTTAAACTGTTTTAATTTTTAATTTTTACTATTAGTTCACTCTCTCCCACTATATATATATTTATATACATATCTTGTTCAAATTTTCAATCGTTAATAAAATACTTTCTGTTCATCCATTCAAGTTCAAATGTATTTTTTAAATCTTGTAGTGGATAATACTTGGTGTTAATACAGTTTTTTCAAATATTAATTCGTTAATTAAATTAAAAAATGCATAAATAGTAACAAACAAAAATAATAGCCCAAGAGCATATATAGAAAGGAAAATCATTCGTTGTGTCCCTGTAGCGCATTGGATAATGTGGGTTGGACTTCTAATCCAAAGGTCTTGGATTCGATTTCCACCTGGGATGGCTTAATTTCTAAGAATGTGACTTCTTTTTTACTGAATACTTTTATTAGAATAATTAAATTGAATTAATGAATAAATAGTTACAACAAATAATAGTACAACACCCTATATAGAAAGGAAATTGAAAATGTGCTAGGAAAATCGCTTTCTATTTTGTCACTTAATATTGTGATTCTGTCATATGTATATACATATTAATATTAATTATTTTACTACTTATTTTTATTTTAGTTACTTATTTAATAAAAAGTAACCAAAATAAAAAATTTCTTTGTTGAGCTAAGCAGGAATTGACTTTAATTTTTTTCTTATATTACTTGTTATAAAAAAAAATTAACTTCCTTCTACGTATTTCACATTTACATCACGCCGTTATCTGTTCAGGTATCAACTGACCACTGCTCGAAGCTGGAAGGTCGTTGCCCTTGCGGAATGAGTGACTCAACTGATATTAAAACTATCGAATATCTCCGAAGGCTTAATCGGTAAATAAGAACTCCTATCAAAATTCATTTAAATGCGATGTTACACCAGAAGCGTTACTTCCCCATTCCGCCAGAGAGCGAAGTCGAGGCGGAAGTGAGACAATTCCACTTCCGGAACTACTTGATGGTGATGTTTGCTAACTATAACCGTCGTCGCGTGGGTTGACGTGAGAGAGTATTTCGCTGACAGTTCGAACACAAAAACACACACCCCGCGGGGGATCTTCACTTTGGCAGAGGAGTAACACAATTAATACATCATGTGGGAGGCTGGTACCGAATGAAAGAAAAAAGTATTTTTATGACATGGGTCCATGATCTTTCATCCTATTTGTCCTGTCTGGTGTATTGGTGGGCCCACTACTCTTTGTTGCGTCTAGTTCTAAAGTGTGTCTTATTAAGTTCGGAAAATTAAAATTATATTCAAATAAAATATAAACTAAGAGAGATAGGGAGAGATAAGATATTTAAAATTTTGGGAGGGATGATTTTTTTGTGTGTTAAAAACACAGACACTCTTCCATCATTGATTGTTTTATTAACGTTGTATTCTCAAGCAGCACGGGAGTATTAAGACCAGATCTCGTAATTTTGAATCACGCTCGAACGACGTGGATGACACCCAAGCTGAGATCCCACTTTTGAAACTTTGACTCTATTCCATTACAGTTTTGCATTTCAATTGAAAATTCTGCTAAATTTCAACCAATTAATTTTTTTTACTTACCAACAGTTGAAAATTGTTCATATATTCTTGAATGGCTTTTAAAATAGTGATTTTTTAAAGAAATCAGAAATGGATTTAGAGATTAAGAATCTTTGTCTTTTTTTTTATTCTGATAGAATTTAACTAACTTTTGATTCAGTTTATCAATTTTGATGAAAAAGATATGATATATTTATGTATCATATCTTTCATGTGTGTGAAATTAATCTGAATTTTGAAAACTGGTTCTTCCAAGATTTTAGTGAAGAAACCATAATAACAGGATGGTCATACTCCCGAGCTCATGATCTCAGCGTTGCTTTTATCGAATTGTAGGTTCGAGTCCAGGTTCCCTTAAGGTATCCGACTACGTTCGGAATCGTGATTCTAAGAAATCACATAAATGGATATCTTTTAGGATATTTAGTGTCACTTATAGATTATAATACATATATAAAATTGTTTTAAGGACATTTTGACAAAGAAAAAAAAATTTAAATACAATATTTTGTCAAAAAATTAACTTAGAATAACCTTTTTTCAAAATGTTTTCCTTTTATAAAAAATGCTTCTAAAAAAATAATATTTTGCTTATATAAAGTAAAGATTTCTCCAGAGAGTCTGAACTATTTTTTTTAAAAAAATTCACATTATTTTCAGAGTTACATCCAACTGAAATAATTATCGGTGTTTTTTTTCTTAAAATTTCTCCCCTCTGTTATCGTAAAACAGGGATAAACCCACTTCTAAGTTATATATTTCAAAAATTCAAGTTGAGCCTCTGTACAGAGGTCTGAGCTATATACAGGCAAAATATTATTATAATAGAAGCATTTTTCACAAAAGGAGAATATTTTGATAATGGGTCATTCTATGTTCATTTTTTGTCAAAATATTGTACTTAAATAATTTTTTATTGTAATACTATTCTTAAAACAGTTTTATATACATCGTCTAATCTAAGTGACACTAAATACAAATATTATTCATTTATCCACTTTTGCAAAATCACGGTTCCGAACGTAGTCGGATACCTTAAAGACTCGCCCATTCTATGTGGAAATTTAAAATCCTCACATTGGCGCAGTGAGGAAGCCTGGAGAGTGGGAATCCAGCTTAAGTCTCGTTTCTTGATCGTGGTTTAAAATTACGAAATACGTCACCAATAATTTTAATAACTACGTGTTGCCTGAGAGTGTGATGTTCAAAGTTTATCATAAAAATTTTAAATAACACGCTTTTTGATTCAGTTACCAAGAATTATAAAACTAATTTTGCTATACACCACTCTCCAAATCGCTTTGAGAAGAACGATATTGTACAGAAACGAGGTGTCATATAGTTATTAGGTAGAAGCAAGTGAACCAAAAAAGTAACACAATGTATGATTCATACTTGAACCGTGAATCACATTAAACTAAATATTTAAATACACAGAAATGTATAAAAGTGGAAGAATAAATAGTATGAGTAAACTATTCATTATTAAAATGAAAGTCATGTAAATGGGTCAATGTAATTTCAAAGGAAATATGGAATGAATTTTTAAGATGATTGGGCAATATTTTGTTTGTTTAAAAATGAATCAATTGGGAAATTTAAAAAATTTCATTTTGTTTAACTAAGAATCATTTTTTTTACCTTTTACTACGATGATTAGGAACAAAAAATTTTTTTAGCTTTGTTTAAAATAATCAACAAGATGAGACCTAAAAATCTGGGATGGAATAGTTTATTGCTGCTTTAAAATGACCTAAAGACAACATAATAGAAAAAGAAACCGTTTTAAATCAGTGACTTATAAATCTTAAAACAAAACTAAAAGAATCTCAACTACACGAAATGATACAATACAATAGAGTAAATAATAGAAAAATACAGTTTATTCGTTTCTTGGCATCAATACTTGGAAAGAGTCCCAAGGGTTTCAGATATTTCTACCCTCTGTTTGGTATGGTATCATTAACGTCACTCTAAAACAACGCGATGGTTACGGATCTTGGCTGAAGACCTCGTAATTTTGAGCCTTCATCAAAGGACGAGGACGACACATGAGCTGGTACCCCAGTCTCCAAACGTTCACGACAACGTGAGTGTTTATTTACGTTGCAAAATAAAACAAGTAGGAGGACTATTGGTCATAGATCTCGTAATTTTGAACTTGAATCAAGTGTTGAAAGACACCAGAGCTGGTACAACTCTCTCCAAACAACTATACCCCACCAACGGGATGACTTAGAATCTTGACAGATTTAACGTGCATCATTCCCTTTCACGAAGAGTTATCAGAAGTATCAGGACTCGAACCCGCGACTCGACAAAGCAGAACACGAGTTCGTGACTACAACCCCTCGTTTACCGTAGCCGTATAAGTCCGTAATTCTCAGGTTTATTATATGGCAGCGGTGGCCTAGCGGTCAAGGCAACGGATCGTGGCTAACATGTCTCGAGTTCGAGCCCAGTGCCATTGAAGACCCGCTGCGTAGGGGAGCGATGTACGTTAAATTTGCCGAGAGCTCAAACGTCCTCCCGTTGGTGTGGTGTTGTATTAGGAGAGGGGTGCCAGCTCATGTGTCGTCCTCGTCACTTGACCATGGTTCAAAATGACGAGGTCCGTCGCCAAAAGACCTCGTGTAGCTGAACAGTGTAACGTTAATATTCACTCAATCACTCAGGTTTATTATTAATATATTTTTGCGAAGACGTCCATGATTTGAAATTTTTTTTTAAAAAAGTAAGCATTTATGATGAATATATTTTTTTAAAAAAATTAGCAATTGCTCAAAGGTTGATAAAAGGATCAAAATAAAAGTAATTTTAAAAAATTTAAATATCTTTAAATTCACTGTTTTGGTTTTGTTACTAAACTGATTAATTTCAAAGTGAACTTGTTCGACTTAGTAACTTAATTGTGTGATTTTTGATTTCATTTGTTTCTTAACTTTGACTTTGTTATTCTTTTTTATTTGTCTTATTTTGTTTGTTTTGCTTTCTTTTGTAAGTCCTGTGTGATACTTATGGGGGGATAATAGCCTTTGTCGCTCCAAATCCCACAAAAAAACTATTAACTGTAAATATAACTGATACTTTAGGGGTGCACGAGAATTATTTTATTTGTCTTCGCACACAATACATATGCAACAAATCCCTAAAATTGTAAAAATGGTTTTATATATAATTAAAAAATGATGTAAGATGATCAATTCTCTTTGAAAAATACATTCTTAATTTTCCCCCCCTGAAAACTGAACGCTCTGGCCAGAACTTATTAACCATTTCCCTAATGCATCAATTAAAAGACAGCATGCCCTCGGAATGCAAAAAGACTGTTTATTACCTCATCAAACTGAAAAGGAAAAAAAAATGGACCATTGGAGCATTATAATGAGATATTCTGGGAATGTAATTTTCTAGAAGGGTCCGTTATATATTCCTCTGAATAGGTCCGCGGAGAATTTCCCCTGATGAATTGCTCTTTCTCAAATATCATATCCCTCGTTATGGAAAGGTCGGCACAAGGTTAGAGATCGTTAATTCCATATGCCCCGGGTGGAAATTATGACCCGCTGTGTAAAATCTCGGCACGGCGGAGAAAAAAAAATTCTTGAGTGAGATGTGATTTCCTCCGATTGTAAGTAAGCGTGAAGGAAAAACAGGTGTCGGTATGACAGCTAGGTTAGAGGGTTTTCGGTTTCGTTTAGATTCAGTGGCTCGTGTCTGCAATCTCTCGTTTTTTTTTTCACTCCCTCGGAAATATAGATTGGATGCCAGACGTGCTGATTGTACAGGATATGTTAATCATTGTATGGA